GACATGGCACTTAATGCCATGGTCTAGATGACATGGTGCCGTTAGGTCATAGGTTGGAGTTGGTGACCTCATAAGTCTTTTCCAACCTGATCGATTCCATGATTCGATGCGCTCTTGCTGGTGTTGCGGGCGGACAGTGCCTGGCTGATGCTGCAATACAGCCCGCTGGCCACGGCGAGTGCGGTGCCGGTGGGCACTGCATTAACCTCCTTTCTTGTAAATGTCGGTAGGAGAGAGGTCTTGCGGTTTCATGGCAAGGCTGTCGACAGGGGTCTAACCTGGGGCGAGCTTTTTCTGATAATGACGGCATTAGTGCTGCTCTTCAATTTCCTTCTGCAAGAAAATCTTTGCTTGCTTCCACAGCTTTGAGCTTTTTTCAAGAGTTACAGGCATTGCAGCTGTGTTATTGACACCACTACATTCCAAGCAATTTTCCCTGGAGTTAAGGATATTAAATCTGTTGATTGCTACTTGCTGTGTGTTAAAGTGAGAAATCTTGGCTCAAAGAAGTCTCAGATGCTTTGTGAAAATAGAGACTTCAAAGCTATTGTTATTCTCTTCCAGGCCTTTCTGATCTCACTGAAAGTGTTCATCTTCTCATCTCCCTTGATCACTGTTTTTAAAGAGAAACTTTGTATTTTCATAGTTCTCTAAGGTGTATGTAAATAGAAATATATTTTTCAGCCTCCTCAAATGACTAGAGTTATTTCTTGTTCACACATCTGTCCTGTACTTATTGATTCTAACAGTTATGTTTGACTGAACTGGAGGCAAGTGAAAAGCAGTTGAGGAGCTAAGTCTGTGTTCTTCTCGTGTTTTCCTTCAGGGCTTGGTGATCACGGCTCTGCCATACCTACATCAGAAATCTACATGCTGAACTCTGAGCTTTTGTCATATGTTCTGGAAAGTCGTGAAGTTGATGGGCCCCACTGTTGTTGAAGTGCATTTGTAGACATCATTGATGTCCTTACACACTTTTCTGGCATAGGAAATGTATATATCTGCCCCATGGATGTACTGGTGGTGGTGACTTAAAACACAGTAGTACTTAAGTCTGCCCAGTTTGCCTTACTGTGTGTAATCACTAACTTCTGAAGTGCAGCACAAAGTCTCTTGGCTCTTTGTTCTGCAGAACAAAGCTCTTTGTTTCTTCTTGTTACCTCCCCATTTCTCCTGTACGGGGGATTGTTCTTTGCATATGTGTGAAAATAAGATGATACTCTCTAATAAATAACAAACTTACCTTTTCTTGCAGGTATGGGGCATGGAAATGAGCATGGCCATGGCCATGGCCATGGGCATGGCAAAATGGAACTCCCTGACTACAGGCAGTGGAAGATAGAGGGTACTCCACTGGAGAAGGTCCAGGAAAGACTAGCTAAACGGGGTCTTAGGGATCCATGGGCTCGGTAAGTGCAACAGCCTCAAAAATAACCTTTGTGTCATCTTGTGGCATCAACTGGACCTTGTCATCGCAGATCATTGCTCCTTTAGTAAAACCAGTGAAAATTAATCAGAATTTCGTTTCAGTCTTTATTGATTTTTTTTTTGTGTGTGTGTATGGAGGTCACACCTTGCATCACCTTGACTAGTCTCCACATTCTGCAAGGCTCCCTTGCACATTGTGGTTCATGATGAAACAAACAGATCAGGCACAGATACCTTATCTACCAAAACACCTAAGTAATATTAGGTCTGCACATGTGAGTAAGCCTATCCCTGCTCTGCAGAGAGATTTATGCTCAGATCTTGCTGAACATGATGGAAATTACATTGACTTTCTGAGCAGCATTAGCATTCCCCACATACAACAGGAAACCTTTATTAGAGAAGAAATGTACTCGTATTTTGGGCATTCAACTGTGCATCTCGTTTGGCTCAGCAGTGAATGACATAATGGAGGATCAGCTTTAGACCTGTTAAGCTGTCCCACTGTACAATGAATATCTCCTCCCTCTAAGGCAGAGCAATTCTAGGTCATTTAGGCAGCTGTTAAAACAGGGTTTAACATATTTCTCACACATCATGAATTATGTGTTACTTTGCTCAAGCACCTTTTCATCTTGCTAAATGTCTTGTGCTGTGTAGTCTGGTTCTTCTGTAAGGGAAGAGTTGCATGAGCAAACTATTCCTGGAGCCTTCGTAGAAAAGGCTTTACTTCAAAGCACTACAAGAAAAATGTAAGAGCAAATAGGTAATCTGTTAAGAAGTTGTTTCCTGCTATAACCTCTCAAGGGGTTTGGGATTGACAGCATTTCTTTCCTTCCTTTAAAATAGTTTAAAGTTGTAAGCATAAAGTAAAACATACTTTTAATGATGACAAGAATCTGAAATATGAGTCTTTAATGAGCTTTCCTGGCCTGTGTCACATTTACCTTGCTTCTATTTCTGTGGAGTGCAAGTAGCATTAGCTTTTCTTTTTCCTTTGCTTCAGACAGAATTGTTTTCAGCAAGCAATAGGCTTATTCTCACTTAAAAAAGGACACAGTTTAGTATCTTAAGTTTAGTGTAAATTAACCTGACTTCTAATGCATACACTTCCAATTCCAGGAAGTACTGTGAAACAACAAACTAGAATAGAGCCTGTGTAATATTTGTTGCCCTTTCTTTTATCTAGGAGGAAACTGATGTTTCTCTAGTAAAGAAGGGGATTGAGCTAATTATGTTAGGAGTTTAAATAACAAACCAAGTGAAACTCAAAAGTATGAGGTGATTCCTTCTGAACTTTTAAAATTTTATGTAAAGTGGTATTTCAATTCCATAGGACAGGTACAAGTATGCCAATCTTCTTAACAAAGGAGAAATTACAGTATCAAGTCACTTGCTTTAGTAATCTGGGAGAAGATTGCATTATCAATGTTTCAGACCAGAAGTCTTGAAAAAGGAACCCTTTCTAGGGCTGCCCTCTTTGGTATGTTAAGTTCATTTTAATGGGGAGTTAGCTTTCTACCTTGATGGCAAATGCACATTAATGTACATATTCAATACAGAATAAGCTGTGTGAAAGATGTCATATGTGGAAACTGAAGTCTGTATCAGTTAGTACCCCATACTGGCATCTTCCGTGCCAATATCATTCCAAGTCACAAAATGCATCTGCACAAAGGGATTATCTGTGAACATAAATACTTGGCTCCCTTATTTTAAAACCTGTATCTTCTGAAATGATGGTTCTAATGTTATTGCTTGATTCTGTGAAAATAGGGTTTTTTCCTTTTCTTAAAGGCCTTTGAGTCCTTAGAAAAAACAAACTGCATCCATCTCTATAGGTTACAGTGGTTGTGCTCCACATAAATACTTGTAGTCAGTTAGGGCAGTGACTTAACTTTCAGCAACAATGTAAGCTGAAAACAGTAAGGCAAAACAGCATAAAGTTTGTAAATATTCTGTAGCTAGAGCTAAACACAATCTTTTCAGCTTTGCTTTTTTTTTCCTTTCTTTAAATCAGCTTATCTGACCCTAAGTGTTGTATTGTAAAACAGAAAGTGCCTCACACTAGGATGAGTTTTGTATGTCTGTAAAAACTTTCCTTGTATGATGTAACTCCGCTAGATACTGTCTAGCACAGTGACTTAGCCTTTGTAGTTAGTCCATCCCATGCAAGTGCTAGTGGGTTCTCACTTTGTTTCAGAGTAAAACCAGAAGACATCAACTAGGTCAGTTTGGGGAGGTGATTCTGTTACTACAGTTATGTTTGTTGCTGGCATTGCTTGTTTCTCAAATGATATGCACAAAGGGTTAGAGTTATTATAATGAACTTTGTTTATGGTAGCTCCTGATACTTAAATGACAGAATGTTCTGTACAGTCTCAATGTATGTCTGACTGAAACACCTTCATCATTCTTTCCAAATAAAGATATTGCTGTTAATGTTTATCACAGTGGCTCCACTGATCCTGTTGTTTTTTCCTTTTGGTATCATTTTTCCTCTAGCAATGAAGCCTGGAGATACATGGGTGGCTTTGCAAAACCGGTCACCTTAACAGAAGTCTTTACTAAGGGACTCAAGTGGGGATTTGCAGCTTTCGTCATAGCTCTTGGCATTGAATATACTCTGTTTCCTCCAAAGAAGAATGGAGGTCATCACTGAAGATCAAATATGACAACTTAATACTTACTGATTACTAAGCTGAAACATATATAAGCCTGCTGCTCACTCTGTACTTATAATATGCATATTAAAGTCTATCACAGGCAAAACCATGTTTCTTTGATTTTATTGTACTTTTGTGCAAGGATCAAAAAACATCCAGAGCCATTTAACTGACTTCAATCTGCAGGAAAAGCAACCCAAGACAGCTCTTGGGTGTGCTGAACTATCCTTTAAAGCACAAGGGAAACTATCAAATCAGCTCTTTCAAGCCCTGCCAACATTCTGTTAGGTGAAACTGAGAAGTGTGTTGCTTTTAAGAGAAAAAAATTATACTGTATTTATTACAGGTTTAATAACGATTATGTTAGTGGTAATGATTGACTTGACATTTCTTGGAAGTATTTGTTACTATTCACTCTTATTTTCTCTAAATAAAAAGAAATATTACCTTAAAGCTTCAAAAAAATCTCAAAGTATATGAAAATACCAAAGTTTATACTTAATCCTATTGAACACGATTAACTTGACAGACACTATGCACCAAAATAATCTGCTGTGTAATGTCCAGAGATTAAAAATTACATTGCTGCCATATTTGCTTAGCAAAGTAGAATAAAATGTTTCACTCAGCAATAACTGTACCTTATCCTAATATGACCCAATATACTTGACTGTAATGTGAAAAAAAGAGAACCATTTCTTCTTTTCTTTGTTCTGGTGTATTAAGTACAGATTTATTTATTTTTACACCTGATTTCTTTTGATAATTTCTTTTAAATGTCCTGTTTTTTCCTTCAATTATCTAACAGCTTCTGGAGTGATTTAAGAATGCCTATAGTGAGGCCTGGAGTAGAAATGGGCCTGTTGGCAGTAGATGTCCACTGCAGTGCTAGGAATTAGAATTTGCTGAATATCCTACTGTAAACATTGCTATGCTATTAGTAACAAAGTAAGGCATAATAATTTTCAGTCCAAACAACAGAAACTCTGAACAGAAACACTAAACAAAAGCAAAATCAGACAAGTGAGAAACTAAATGAACTGAACAATTACATAGTGTACTTCTCTGGTGAAGAAACAAAATTTTAAGTAATTGCGTCGCAAATTGCAGGTTTAACGAGAAAGCTGAAGGTCCTACCAAAACATGGCTAAAGTGTCTTTCTTTGTTTTTAATATATATAATCACACAACATTTCTGAGTGAGATTGTAACAGCTTTATTTTTAGAGCCAATAAACTGTTACTGTGTGAGTGCAGCTGCACTGTTCAGTGGAGTTTGTCATCTTTGCATGACATTGCTCAAGGCACTGTTCATAGGGCAAACAGTTGTTTTACTAAACTTTTCTTGCCTAATTCTTTCTTCACGCATTCCTATCCAGTTGCATCATTCCCTGAAAAACAAATCATGAACCTACTGTGTAAGGTCTGTTGCACAAAATATTTCTGATGTGCCCTAGGCAGCCTCACCCAAAGGCTGGTACTCACTGCCTGGTGTCTCTCTTGGTCCAAGACTAAACTTCGTAAGAGAACTGAATTTTAGATGGTTCAAACAAGTGCATTTTCTACATGCAGCTATTTGAAGTTAGGAGTATTTGCTCCAAGGGGTTTTACAAGGAACATACTCAGGACCCAGGCATGTCTTTCAATTAAATTTACCAATTCCATCGTGGATTTCAAGACATTCAGAGATTCATCCGAACTGTTTTATATGTATGAGAGGGAACCAATCTTATAGATGTTCTATACAGTCTCTGTCCTCAGTTGTAGGTCAAATAGAAATCTGAAAACCTGAAAGTCACATAATCCTTTCACCATTATTCCAATGAATAAACCCTCTTGAAAATAAGGGGGGTTACTTCCCATAGTAACTTAGCCTTTAAAAAATAATAATAATAATAATAAAGAAAGCAACACCAACGCATAATAAACTAGTGACCGCATTTGTATATACAGATGGGACACACTCACCCTGACCATAACAAGTCTAATTTTGAAATTCTAGCATAAAAGACAAATTCATGGTATTTCAGGAGGCATAAATTCTAGTTTTTGATTTACATAACTAGGAGAATCTATAAAATTAAATAGATAAAACCCATTATAAAAGTATATCAAAACAAATATGTCCAAGCCAGAGATTTATATCCAAAGCCCCATGCATTGAACCATATAAGACCATACCTTCTCAATCATGTGTAATGTTACTGGTATGTTCCATGTGGTACATTTATACTAATTTACAGTTCTAGGTAACATGAGCACCTATCAATGAGGACAATGTAGTATTTCAACTTAGAAATAGGGAAGAATGGAGAAACTTGCGTACAACTTAAAAATGCTGCCTAGAAAAATGTGAAAACTCTTTAATAAGCATATAAAAATTAGGTAAATCAAGGAAAAAGTGGAGAAAGTAAACGAGAGTATATTGGTAGCTTAAGTAATGGCTATGTTAAACCATTTTTGAAAGAAATAATTCTTCTTTCATGAACCTGCAGCCATACCATGTCCTTAAACCTCCTCTATTAGCCTGTACAAGCCTTTCTGTGTTTGTATGGAACAGATCCAAGGAGAAAGTGTGTACACTGATTCACATCAGGTAGCTGCTTTCCTTCTGAATCAGCACCAATCCAGTGCTACTTCTTATCAGCAGGGATCCTGTGATACCCTTGAATGATTAGTGTTACAGTGAGAGCCTGACCATACATACCAGTAACAATACAGGTAATTTTTCAGAGCTGTTTCTTGGTACCTGACCAAGTTCCAGTGTGGGTGATTACTTGCTGTCGCCTTTTTCCCTGCAGTTCCAAAGACATCGTGACTCTCTGTGTGTGCTGTCCCAGAGTACTGACTTCCACTGCTTTATTTTTGGCAGTGCAGAAAGAATGACTCACTGTTTTGTATATGCTTTGAAATCCATTAAGCTGGGAGTTATATATGATGTCTAATTTCACCACATATGGAGGTGGCTTTTGTCTAGTTCAGCAGATAAAATAGCCCAGAATTTTAAATTTTGGGCCTTTTAGAGAGCAGCTCCAATTGCAATACTAGCACCTCAGAGTAAGTGGCTTCATGGAAGTTGCTGTTTTATGCCAAGGGAATTGTCACTGAAATAAGGAATAAACTCCTTAAGATTAGCAAATAAACTCCTTAGCATTAAGAAGCAGAATTCCTTTATTGCAGTGCTCAGTGCATGAGGGATCACTCCACCTAACAATTATATGGACTATCCAAACTCTTTACTCTTTATACATTTCAGCAAACATAGAAGTTAGTGCTCATTGGTCACAAATACCTAACCCTTATTAGTTAGTACTCTGTCTTCTATTGGTTAGTGATTTCTTGTTCCTAATGCTAATTATTCCCCCCCCTTAATTGGCATACCCCCCCCCCCTTCATGCACATGTGATTGGGGCAGTGATCTTTGAGGAACTTCTGTGACCCCTAGGGTCATTTTTTATTCTGTCCTTTGGTTGAACTTTTGCTCTTAGCCACAGTTTCTTCTTGGAATGTTCCTCATCAGGTGTTTTGCTGGGCCTTAACAATCAGTCTGTCCTTCGTGTACCCAAGCAGGCCTAATCCAAGGAGACATATATCTAAATTGTGTCTAGCCTAAAATGGCCTTGGTTATATTTGCATCTGCTTACAGAATCACGACACCCAGTTTACAAGAACAAGGCATTACCTAACAGTTACTTAAGATTATACAACAGGAAGCTCACAAGTTTGACATAGCTGTACATTATCCTCACAATAAAGGAACAAATTCAGAGTGATAGAGCAAGATATGACTTCATCTCTCTCTACAGCTATTGAAAGGGGGTTGTGGAGACGTGGGGGCTGGTCCCTTCTGCCGTGCCTGCAGTGAGAGGACTAGAGGGAATAGCCATAAACTGAGACAGAGGAGATTCAGATTAGATATTAGAATAAAAGTTTTCACTCTTTGGGTGGTCAGGCACCAGAACAGGTTGTCCACGGAGGTGATGGAGTCACCATCCCTGGGACCATTTAAGAGGCATCTGGATCAGGTGCTGGGAGATACAGTTTAGGATTTGGGGGTCGCAGTGGAGTGACAGCTTAATGGTTGGATTTGATTCCCAGAACAGGGTGTCCACGGAGGTGATTGAGTCACCATCCCTGGGACCATTTAAGAGGCATCTGGATCAGGTGCTGGGAGATACAGTTTAGGATTTGGGGGTCGCAGTGGAGTGACAGCTTAATGGTTGGATTTGATTCTCTGGAAGGTATCATCCAACCTTGATGACTGTATGAACCAAGCAGCAGCTTTACGCCCGCGTAAA